TTCGGGATTGGGATGACTGGTAGCTCCAAGGGACAATGGGGACCCCGAGGGACAAAGGTACAAGCACAGCCTACGGACCAAAGACTCGAATGTTTCATTTTGCGTGTTGTATTCAAGGGACGCTGGACCCGGTTTCCAGCAGGTGCCGCTCCCCACCAATAGATGGAGCAGTCCGGCAGATAAGCCCTCAATTCTGTTGGTTCTCTTACCACCAGCAGAATGGAGGGCTTACACAAGGGCTCCTGGTGTGAGTCAATGCTTGTCTCGTAGATTAGGACCATCAGGCCGGCTGGCCGTCTCTAGGTAGTGTATACACTGTATAGACATTGTGGTGCTCTCATGGCTATGTCATCAAGGGTCCTCGGTCCGCCAGTCTAGGGACCACGCACAAGTAGACGATGAGAGGGGGGTATAGGGGGTGGAGGGACGAGTAGAGAGGATGCCGATGAAGTATAGCTTGGGTAGGGATTGTACTGGGCCTGTCTCCTGAATAGTGGGGGTAGATAATAGAGGGTATAGGATACTGTATATTAATAGGAGGGAGATACTGCTATGTTATTTATTTGTCAGATTTTATTTTTATTTTTTATTTTTTTGGGGGGGTGCCCTTTTTTGGCCCTTGCATGGCCGGGCCGCCCGGGCAAACAAGGTGATCCGGGCCTCCCGGCTGGTAGCCTAGGGTATGTGTAATTATTTTAAATTATTTATTTATTTATTTATTTACCAGTTTTGTCTGTCCATGTGTCTGTGTGTGTATTCCCAGTTGGTCCATATCTGGATTCGTTATCTTTGCTAGTAAAGGTCATGCATTGCTCCATTTTTTAGACCTTTGGAGTGCGGCTGAGGAACAATTCCTCCTGGCTCTCACCTGTACTTGTTAATAGCTTATGCTATTAAGGAAGACATCATGTTCGCCCCAATAGGAAGGTTGATCAGATTTGGTTTGTGAGCGTGAAGTGGATGAGCTATCGTTAGTATAATCTTATATTTGGTTTGGTGGTGTAATCAGATTCGTGATCGTTTGTCAGAACTGTCACTGTTGCAGACTTTTTTTATTCTGGTCATCTGATTGTCTGGATTTGAACTTGGGTCTGTATTTCAACAGTTTATGAGTGTACCAACGGAGGTTGCAAACTTAATTGCAAATCCATTGCGCACGTTCGAAAGGAAACCGTTACTTGCAAATCCATTCCATGGCAGTTGGATTCGCAAAGCCGAGTTTTTACTACGCGGATCAGCTGGGAGAACAGATAGGTGCAAAACCAAAGATCATAATCCAAGTAGAATGGAGCAATGCTGCAGGCTGGCCAGCTTTCAGATGCTGTGGTCGTTAGCAGAGTGTGCGAGCTTTGGGGCTTTTACGGCTAGGGCATCCACATTGCTGAATGTCCTGGAGGGCAGTGGAGCTGGAAGTATGGTCACAAGAGGTCTGAGCTGGAAGTATGGTCACAAGAGGTCCCCAAAGCCTAAGAAGGGGGTGAGAGGAAAGTCGAAACTTACCTTGGTATCGGCTTTCCGCTAGCAAGCCGTCACAAGGGGTCTCTATGAATAGGACAGCGTATAGTGTGAAAAAGGAAAAATGGACAAGGAGCCTTCATTGAGTCGTGGGACTCCCTATGACTAGGACAGCATGTTGTGTTAACAAAGGAGAATGGATACCAAGCCCTCGCAACTGAGTCCTTGTGAATAGGAGTATGTGGTGTGCGAAAAGGAAAACGGTGGTTATTTAAATCGATATTGCGAGAAGTGAGAGCGTACTGACTTTGCCAGTGGTGTAGGGAAGGAAGCAACACAGGCAAAGAAAAGGTTGTGGGCAGAGTGGAGCTGGCCCCTGATATATATTGGGCTCAAGGGGAGTTAAGCCCGAGACTTTGCGGCCAGTCAGATTTGAACCTGGGATCTCCAAGTATGCATGCTGTTAGTTGCTCTTGGACACATAAGACCCTGTAGGACCTAGACATCTAGAACTCTCTAGGCCAGAGTCCTGTAGGACCCAGGCAAATTTGGCACAAACGGAAGGCAGAAGCGAGGAGTCGCATTCATTCAGTATCGAAGAATACGTTCTCGATGTGAAGACCTGGGATCTCCAAGTACGCCACTAAGTGCAGACCGCGTCAAAGCTCGAAGAATATGTTTTTTGTACGGCACGCTACAGTGTTGTCTGTTCTAAGCTGCTCACTGCAGCCTGGCATTCAGGTGGACATCGCCTTTTCTCGTTATTACCAAGTATGCTGGTGAGGCTGTTCAATACAAGCTTGGTGTAAAGCTTTCTACCAATTGTCATTTTTTAGATTTTTTTTTTTCTATAAAAAATCACTAGATTATGTTTTCAGTTCAGGTTTCGACTGTTCCACATTGGAAGTCATTTTCAAGATTTTGTTTTCACTTCAGCAAGTGCAGTTTGTTTGAGTGCTCCACATCAGAAGAAGTTTGCCAAATTCCTACCACTAATATGAGAGTTGGCAAGGTAGGTAAAGCGATCGGGTACTCCAAGCCGCCACATCAGCATCGTTTACGCGTCAACCACTGCCGTGTCAGCAACTACCTTCCACCAGCGGGCATCTACCTACTCCGTGCTCTACTTTCTTTAGCACGGTTTATTGCAAGGATAATAACAATGGAGAACCAGAAGAGAACAGGGCAGTTGAATTTCAGTAGGGCCAATGTCACAGGAATGTCATGCTAATTGTACTGTGTTGGAAATTGGAATATGCTGCTGGCTAGTTCTGGTCCTGTATGTTCCTTTTCTTTCCCTTTTTTTGTCTTATTTCTTTTATCCTTTTTTGAAGTTTTTCTTTATTCCTTGTGCAGGGGACCATGCTACTTTTCTCTTTACACTTCCAATTTTAATGGATGTTTGGAAGGACAGGACCTGCATTTCCTGAGCTATGCACCCACCAACCAGTATGATGTTGTAGCTGGGGATCGTGAGAAGGGCATAACCATGGGGTTGTGTCTGTGTTGTGGTGACTTATAACGAGTGGCTTGGTTGCAGCAGGCAACTGCAGAGAGAGGAAACATCCTGCGAAAACACCGTGAGACTGCTGGATGGTCTCCCAGCATGCATGCTATGTAGCGAGCACAATGACAGTTGAGATACTGTGTGGAGCGCCCACCTTGGCAGAGACTGTGTGCTGCAGTACAACGAGCTCTGTGAATTCGCCTTCTATTGTGTGACACTCTGTGATTTTCACCACAACAGCCACTGTGCCACCCAGATGAGTAGAGCCGAAATCAAAGCGGCTTTACCTCTATTGCAGACAATGAAGCACACTTGAGATGAGCCAATCCAACAATGAAACAGTTTTACCTCTATAGCAAGCAACATGGGGCAGAACAGATCCATCTGTTATATCCCTTTCTTGACTATCTTTACTTTGGCTTTCTTTGGGATACCCCTTCTGTTTGTTCTTGCAGATCCCCTTTTACTGTGCCTCTCATGTACAAGGCTGGCCACGATTTATTGTGGCTTAGTGCCAGCTGCCCACACATCCCCATGTGTGTGTGTGTGTGTGTGTGTGTGCCCGCCGCATCCTCTCGTGTATTGGCCATGCAGCTGGCTTAATTGGGGGACGTGGAACAAAGTTTGATGCTGCTTTTGTGTGCTTGTTATGTGTTGCAGACCTTTTCGAGGAAGAAGGACCGTTCTTAGGATGGCGCCGAAAGGTGTTCATAGCAAGGTCTAGTGAGAAGACAAAAAGCAGCAAGAGGAGGGCTTCACCACGTAAGGATTCTGGAGACATGGTTAAGAAATTCCTTAAGCAGCACAAGCTTGGAGTTGAGGTTCACGTGTGTGAACCTGTCGGTGGTGAAGTGACGGGGTCAACTGCAGTTGATGACATGAAGACCGGCATTCAATTTGGAGCTTGGAAAAGCTGCCCCCGAACAGATCAAGCGGGAGGAGGGCATCCGGGAGGTGTTGACACCACCAATGGCACTCATGTGGGGCCCGGTGGATCGATCGATCTCTTTGCTGCGAGTGAACCCTTAAAGAAAGCAGGAACTGTTGCCATCCCTGTTGGCTCTGCCACCGGTACAGCAAGTGCGGAGAAGGCAGGTATACCTCTGGCGGTTGCAGGTCGGCAGTCGTCAGGTATCAAGCCAAAGTCCTCCCCAGCATCACCCCCTCTGGTATCCTCTAACTCTTCGCGACGCAGCCAGCATTCCTCTCCTGGCGCAGGCTTACACTCGTCACCCAAGCCACATATGCCCAGTTCCCCTCCCGAATTATCCCTCTCCCGCCCTCTTTCCCCAAGGTCGGATGGCCTGCCGACCGATCTTCTTCCCTCCGCACAGCAACTTTATGAGCACCTGTCTGCGTCTCCTCTGGTCGGCATCATCCATTTGGACATGGATTGCGGTGAACAGGGCTTCATAATGACTTGGCAGAGCGACATAATCCCAATCATGGAGCCGGGAGAGGGAGCAACAGCTTTCTTGACGTCAGCAATACCTGCTGACCCCTTGGGATCATGGACTTCCGCAGCTCTTGGTTCGGAGCTTGGCCCGGGCCTTGGCGGCGATGGTACCCACCTGAATATGGCTTCTTTGATCTCAACAACTCAGCAGGTGTTGGTCAATGGCGTCCTTCACAACTTTGTCGGTCGCCATACGCAGGTCCTGCATGATGGACAGGAGGTTGGTGCATACTTGTTTGAACGCACTTATCCGCTTGAGAAGCTTGCGGCAGATGATGTGTGCAAAATGATCGGAGCGTTTCAGAACCGTTTAGTCGTTTGTGGGCGGGCGAAGCCTGTTCCTCGTGCCATTATTGATGAGTTTCTCATGTGTGGAGCCAAGTGCGTCGTCGCCATTCCAAAGCACGATAGACATGCCTTTGACTTGAGTTTCCGTGGGATAGGCGACATGGGTGAAACGAGCGATCATCGGGGACCATCCGGCGAGGATAAGGGTGGGCATCCGGAAAAGGTAAGAGACGACTGGCTGAGTGAAGATGGCCAAAGTGAGGATGGAGATGATGCCGGAGCGGGTACACTCAGGCCGGTTGATGAGATATTCGGTAGTGTGAGCGGGAGTGAAGATGACGAGGACCCGAGCCGTCATGGTCGGAAGCCGTCTCCTCTTGGGAATGCTCAGTTTTTGGCCACTCCGGAATGGGGAGGACTGCACACGCACGCTCCTAGGAGTCTGGGGAAAAATGCGCTGGGGGAGAGAGGGGTTGATGGGGAAATTGTCAATCTGGGTCCATTTTGGCAAACGTTTTATAAGAATGTTTTTTTAGAGAAAAGGGGGGTCAGGTTGGCACTTCGACGGGCGCTTCATGATAATTCAATCCCTTACATGTTCGAGTGCTTTACGTCGATTGAACCACCCCAATGACCGATTGCTGTGGGCTTGTTCTTCCCAAGCCATTGAATGTGCCATTATGTGCACTTCATCAGTCGCTTCGTGATTATTCAGTCTCTCTCTTACACCACCGCAATGGCCAATTGCTGTGGCCTCGCTCTTCCCAAGCCATCGAATGCGCCATTCTGTGCACTTCAATGGGTGCTTCGTTATTATTCAATCTCTCTTTTATGTCAAAGTTCTTTACGTCGATTGAGCACAACCCCAATGACCGATTGCTGTGGTTCGTTCTTCTTCCCAAGCCGTTAAATCTGCATTCTGTGCATGCCGTTGTGCGTATCCTCTGTTGTCTTTTTTTTTCCGGGCCCTTCATGATTATTCAATCCCCTCATGTCGATTGAACAACCCCAATGACCAATTGCTGTTGTTCGTTCTTCCCAAGCCATTGAATCTTCCATTCTCTGCCATTATACGTGTTCTCTTTTTTTCTTTCTTTTCTTTTTTTTTTGTCAGTTCCTCTTCCCTTTGCGACTAACTCGCTCCATGCTCGCTTTCACAGGAATCGTTTTGACAGTTTTTGTGTTGTTTGCACAGGCACTGCTTGGCTTACATAGACTGACTTCGTTGCTGCTGTGTTCTGAAGTTTCGTCAGTTGCCACAACTTGCTAGGACTTAGGACCGCATTCCGTGAATTTCCTTCCCATCATGGTTTTTCACCCAGTTTTCACACTTGTTTGCTCTTACTTACCTTTTTCGCTTTCGAGTTTCAGATCCATTAAAGGAGTTGTTGCTGTGTTTAAAGTTTAAACACCATGGCGAGAAATACTATGACTGCACATTCAGCTGCCTGTCGTTCTGTGCGTGCACATTGTTTCGTCAGACTCCATGTGCATGAGCCTGTGTCGTGTTATGTGGATGCTGAATGATGCATGCATGCATTTCTCAATTTATGCTACTGAAAAGGCTTCGGGGTTGGCATACGCACAGCCTGATGACTTGGTAAACTCAGCTATGTTCTGCAAGATCTGCCGGGTTTTCGAAGCTGGTTTACATTGCGATTCATGTTAGCGGCGACCTATCATTTTGAGTTCGTTATATGGAGCTGGAAGAGGTTCTTTCTATTGTTGAGAATAGTGGAGAGGTGTGTGGTTCCCTTCTGTGGGTATTTTTCAGAGCTGTTATGGATAATCACATGGAGATGCAGGACTGGCCCATGGACGTTAGCGGAGGCTGCCGTGGCACCAGAAATGTCGAGACCACCGTGTGAAACAATGTGATCGGTCTGGGTTGTATACACATTTCCTTGTCATCATTCTGACTCTTCTGATAGCTCAGTTGATGATTCCGGGGGTTGTAATCATTCTTTGCCACCGATGTGGCAACTGCGGGCTCTAGCAACATCTCATCTACTGCTGCTCAGCTTGCAGGAGACGCACAGCAATCAACCAGTCAAAGGAGGATCAGGAACCAAGGAACCTGCAGCAAGGAAATGAAAGAACCATTGTCCAAGGAATGAGGGCCGACGGAGCCAAGGATGGGTGGGACGAAAGTGGTGAAGGAACCAAGAGACAAGGCACCAAATGGACCACACAGGCACCAGGAGGCCCGGCAGAAGAAGGTCAGGCCCTGAGAGACCAAGACGGGAACAAGAGACCAGGAACCACAGACCCAATGGGCGGAATTGGCGAAGGAACCAAGAGACCGAATTACCACTCAGGCCCTGAGGAACCCACAGACCCAATGGGCGGAATTGGTGAAGGAACCAAGAGACAAGGCACCAAATTACAACTCAGGCCCTGAGGGACTAAGCGGGAAGGAGAGACCAGGAACCACAGTCGAGGGATGAGGGACCAAGGAACCAGGAGCAAGAAAGAAATGAAGGAACAAGAGTAAAAGGTAGTCGCGGCGAAGGATTCAATGACCCGAAGGACGAAATTGGTGAAGGAAACAAGAGACAAGGCACTAAAATGACCACTCAGGCACCAAGAGGCCCAGGCAGAGGAAGTCCACTCCCTGAGGGACCAAGTCGGGAACGAGAGACCATGCTTGGGATCCAAAGGGATGAATCACCGCCTTCCACCAAGGAGACCAGGTAGCAGAGGACTAGGCACCTGGGGACATGGCACTGAGCTTGGGGGCCAAGAGAATGGGAAGTTAGTGTATGCTTGACTAGGGACCAAAAGACAAGGCACCAAATGGCCACGCAGGCACCGAGAGGCCAGGCAGAGGAAGTTCAAGCCCTCAGGTACCAAGATGGGAACAAGACAGGAACCTGCGGACCATGCTCGGACTCCAAGGGACGAATCACAACCTTCCACCAAGAGACCAAGCTCAGGCAGCAATAAACTGGGAACCTCAGGAGACTAGGTACTAGAGGACTAGGCACCTGGGGACCTGCCATGGAGCATGGGCGCCAAGAGAATGGGAAACTTGGAGACCAGGTACTGAGGGACCGAGCTTGGGGGCTGCTTGGAGAGTGAGTGACTACCTTAGGCTCTGCAGCATCCAGGCTTGAGTATGTGAAGCATAGCCAACTGCACCCAGGCTATGGCTATTGGCTATTAGCTATTGGGTAGCTTCACTAAGTATGTACGCACCACGGCATCCAGGCCGGACTTTGTGAAGCATACCCAATAGTGAAAGCCAACAGCCATAGCAGGATGCACTTTTTTCCAGACAAGTGCCAAGTGGTTCAATAGTGAGCGGCAGTGTTCATATATGGAAACTGCAAATTTGGTGGTACCAAGCTCATGGAGGGAGAGCTGGTATGCATCTTCATTCCAGGTAACTACGAGTCTCAGGACATACTCAGACTAGGACCTTTTCCACTGAGATCTGGACCTCATTGCGGTCAGATACATCCCAGGCTGGCCGTAATTAGGGTGAGGTACATCTAGGAAAGCCTTTGTGCGAGTGAGGCCGCAGTTTGATCATTGGGCTGATTTACCTTGCTGTATACCGCCGGCTGGCCCGGCGTCTCTGCCTCCTACGGGTACCGGGATGGATGGCCCTGGAAATGGATGTGCTCAGAGATTGGTAAAACTGGCTTTCTGTAAATAAGAACGCAGTTTCTGTGTTTGGGGTCAATGTCAGCACGATGCTGTACCTGGACAAGAGGTTTCGGTCATTGTGTTCACAGATGACGAGGCTGCTATTTTGGCTGCGGACCCTTTTTGCAATTTCTTTTTTTTTTTTTTTTTTTTTTTTGGGAACAAAGCTCCAATCTATTT